ATTCGGAGGTTTTGTTGTAACATACATTTAATTTAAATAATATTTATTCATTTAAATTGCGTTTATATCAAAAATGATCTACGTCTTCCCGAGAAATGGTAACTTTGGGTTAAAACATAAAATTCACTTATCTCCTAGTTAGTAGAAGAACAGGGTTTTCTTCTTATATACATATTATGTTTGTATGTATTTGCGTTTAAATATTATTATGTACTGTCTTAAATAAATTAAAGTACCGTCTCGTTGCTGAAGTTTTCATAACTCAACAGAATGCTTAAAATAAAGTATGAATGTTATACTATAAAGCCAGCTCAAACTGAATCTTGACTCGTCTCCTATGCTATTTTATTTTTTAGTCGTACAAATCTATTTAATACACTTAAAAGTATTAAAATAGTTTGTGGTAATTAGATAAATTCTCTAGACATGTGATAACATTGGTTTTAGACTAAATACAATCATAATATTAAGTAAATCCTCTGTAAGTTATTCGCCGTCACTGACGCCACACGTTTACCACATCGCAGCTGTAAATAAGAATGTGTAGTTGGACCTTAATTAGCGTCACGCACGCAACATATTCTAGAAATGTATTATTATATTTCCTATAAATAGTATTTTTAGACAAATTTTTATTTTTCATATTCCAGACAATAGGAAACTTGTGATCTTTTAAAAACCTCGGCCTTTCTATCTTGTCCGGTCACCCTTGTCATATATTGTCACACTTCTCAACAACGCTATGAATAATATCAACTGATAGTTAGAAGCTCGTCACTAACAATATTTATTTTGTTCCCTTCTCCTATCTACACAAATATAGTTGTACAGTCTGTAACTTTAAAGTACTAAATTAGTTTTTATTTATTTGTGAGAACGTTGCCTTCAAATATTTTCGTATTCAACTACAGTTCTAGCCGGATATCCCAGTTTTTAATTAAATACTTTTTGTAACTTTATATTTAAGTCACGAACAAAACTTTTTAATGAATTTATCCTGTTTTTTAAAGCTTGTACCGCCTGGGCCCGGAATACAAGTTCTGTTTCGATACAACTTCAATATTCCTAACTATTTCTAGAAAATTCATTAAAAAACTGAAAAACCAACTCCAACTATCCTATCATAGTTTAAGAACGAAATAATATTTTAATTACTTTTATTTTTTATTCATTGTTAATAGTTTCTGTTATCTTAAGTGATATCTGATTGACCGTCAGTATCAGTAATGTGTGATTCGTGTTCCACTAAAACTGTAAAGTGCATTGACCTGTATAATTACATTAGTCCGCCTCGGAGGGCGTCAACTATCGTCTTGTGGTCTCTGTGACTTCAGTTGGCTAACTTTGGTTACTAGGATCACCATGAGCTGGGAGAAACTTTTAAATGTGTTCAAACATTTTGCTTTTAGGTATATAGAGGAACTTAGTCTTAGAACGGTTAAATTGATTGTATTATGTTTAGCACACATGCCTTTAACATTTATACCTAAAGAGACATAGGAGATGGAAACATTATTTTCTTAAAATAAGGCAAGTTATTCATAATTCATATTGACATATTTTTTCGTACTTACATGTAAGCGATAAGTATTAATTTCGTCATTAAAAATTTTGCATGAAGCATGGTCTCTAATGTTCCTAAGATAGAACAACTCAGATTGTCCAAGCCACGTTAACTATCTGAATATATTAAGAGATTCTTGGTGTGGAATAATTGATGTCTTCTGAAAATAATTTCATTGCCTACCCTTTACAATAAATGTTGATATTAACTAAAAGACTATAAGCAGACTTAAAAATAGAAATACATAAAGATTAAAATTGTAACCATACAAATAATGAAATTCTTTAATCTAATTAGTTTTATGAGCGGTCATAAAGGTAACCAAATACGTCCGTTATTTATCCAGTTAGTAGACTAGCGTGGTCACAGTCCACCGGCGCCCGCGTTAAGCTTAGAGTTCATTCACATGCAAATTTTTCCAATATTTAAATGGAAATCGGATTTGGAAAATCACATCCGCAATGATCCGCCTCACCCGGACGGAATATAATAAACGTTATTTATTATTGACGCTTTAAAATTTGAGTTTCATTGAAATACATATTTTATACATGAGGTGACATTAGGGATCGTTAAAATAGTCATTATCTCCGGAGAACTGTATGATTCATAATGTCACTATGAATAACTTTGAGTCGACATATCGCCGCTTAAACTCATGTCGTATCTTCACTACCAATATATTGGTGGTTCTCTTGTTTACTTCGATAGATACATGGATACTGATGGTCTTCACTACCACATCATCAGCTACTTTGGCGCAAATATATGCCTGTATAAGTACACTAGCATGAAATAAACTTTAAGAAGACGTATGCATCCCTCGCCAATTCCCTTGCGACACAAACCACGTAATTTCTATGGTCGATAAAACCTGCAACAGTTTGGGAAAGTTGGAAGATTTCACGGTAACAAAAGAGGTATAGAAATCGTCAATCTCAGCGTGTTCCAGTCAAACCCTATCGCTGTCTCTTCTAGTTCATCAATTTTCGTCTCAGGCCTCAAAATGCGTGAATTTTATGGTGTTAATGAATAATGCATTTCTCAATTTTAACTCTATGACTAGTTTTGCATCCACGGATAGGTACCAGTGGTTTTTTCTATATTTTAAAACAATGTAGATGAATTTGTCTTAGTACGTCACTTCAATGCCTCAACTTTACATATATTTCAGGGCTGTGGGCGATGTATTGTAAATATACTCGTTAAACTTAGTATTATAGTTGAAAATTCAATTAAATTTTTATTATTGTAAAATCAAAAAGAATTCATTTCTCTAGTTATTGTTATAAGCATGATTTTTCAAACATAAGACTAAAAACGCATCAAAATAATATACTACAAATATATAATAAATTGGTTAATTGTGAATAACGGTGTAATGTTTTCAATGTTATTTTCATAATTGCACAAACAAGTACATTAATAATTTTGTGGTATTTTATATAAATAAATTCATTTTAATAATTAATAATTACTTTGAATTCTATGATATATATTCCATAAATTAATACGAAATTTTATTTTGAATAGTTTTCTGTAATTTGATTTTTGTTCATAAATTTTGTTGGTTTTGATGATCCCGTTCGGTTCTGTTCAATTAATTTATATATTTTTAAACTATATCGTTATTAAAATAAAATTTAAATTGCTTCTTATATAAGTATAATACAAAAGGTTTAACAAACAAAAATAAAAATAAAGCAATGTCTCGGAGTGCTATATTCCGGATTAGATTTCCCGTTTCAAGAGCCCTTCTTATTGTTGGGTCGATTCGAAGGCGATTGCAATCGTCCTCAAACAATGTGTGAGACGCCAACATCACCTTTTGTTATTTCGGATTTCTGAAAGATGTTTTTAGAAAAATCAAAACAATAATGAAAGTAGTGAAGTAAAGATTTATATACTCGTACTTATATATGTAGATGTTAATATTGCCAACTTTACAATAGTGATTTATAAAGGCTAATGTGAATATATTTGTACATACGAGTATTTGAAACAAAGTAATATATTGTAGATTTTCTAGGAGTGCTGTAATAACACGTAGTATATATTATGTTGCATAAAACTGTTAAAAGGAGGAACTTAAAGTAAACATTAAACACGCGAGCTATACTGTGAAATTCAAAATTATCTTAAAATAGAAAATTCAATCAAAATTGAAGAGCTTGAAGAAAAATATTAGTTATATTATAATTACCCAAGGTTTAAAAACATCGTTATTGTTTATAAAGTAAATGATAAATAAAATACGAGTAGTATTTCATTATTAAAATTCGTAACAATTTTGAATGATGACGTATAAAAGTTTTAAGCGCAAATCCATTGTTACATTTGTAAGTTCCTTCGACACCTCGATGATTAAGCACTTCAGATATGGCTTTATAAGATGAATGTCCTTTGTACGAGATGAAACGACGTCGTTAAATCTAGAAATACTGGGAATTCTCACTTGGCTTCCATCTATATTACTTACTTTATAATTAAAAACATGCTGTAGTGGAAAAATGATTAAACGCTACTGAGTAATTTAAATATTAATATATAATTAATGTGAGACCTAATATTTTATTTTATGGCTTGTATAAAATAAGAAAACTCCCTTTAAAGTATTGTTCCTAATATTGTGAGTGAAATTAATAGTAACGTTTTATGATACAAAGAAACGACATAAGTTTATTATTATATGTATAACACGAAATATAGTCCAGAAGAAAATAAAAATGCAAGTAGTAGCAGTAAACAAAGACTATAAAGAAATACGATCACTACTATTTTATGTGATTCTGACGTCACCTGAACCTCGTAAACATTAAAATTTTATATTTGACAATATTGTCAGAATAGAAAACTAACAGTTATATAAAACAGAGAAAAAAACTTACAAGTAAATATTTTATTATAAAGACACTAACTTCTATAATTAAAGTAAATAAATCATCGCAAAATCCCGACCACGCTAGAACCTAGCCATTATACCGGCTTACTGTCAATCAAAGAGTCGCGAACAAAAACCTTCGAAGAAGATTGCAGTAAGGATATAAAACCTAACGATTCTGTACAAAGACCCCACTTGATTATAGCCAGCTTCAAAACGATAGATTTAGTGATGGAAATACGAATATTAGAAGAAACAGAACACCACGACAGTTGTTCATACTTTAAATTAAATTTATAAATCATGTTAAAGAAATAATGACAACAAAGCAAACGAATTGTCCCATTATATGTATTTTAAATTTGAATTATTGGCTTTCTTTGTGCTCTGGGACTCGCTCAGCTGATGCAATAAGTAAAAATACTCCAATTTAATTACTTTACTGTCATTGCGTCCCTATTTACTCTTTAATTGTGGGTCGCAGTTTTTGTTATTTCTTCTGTTGTGTGTGTATATATATATATATTGTATATTATTTTAAATCTCTTCCGTCCAATGTCTGTCAATCGATACGAGTCATCGGATCAGATTGTAGGGACCGGATGGAGGCAGATTGCAGCGGATTACGACGCTTCATACCGCCGCGCCGCGCCGCGCCGCCTGCCGATATCTTATGATTCCGTTCACGTTCACTGCAGATATATTATTCACCCTCCGCTCCAACCCTTGCCTATAAATAGAATGTCCAAATTAAGAATGCTAATGTGAGGATTTTTAATGATTTGATTTCACGCTAATTACGAGTGGAATCAGCATAAAGTAGTTTATCCGTTCGTACGTGATAAGTTTTCATTATTCACACATCCTAAGCTTATCTTTTGTGAGGATACATCTAATTTTAAATATTTAAATTCACCCTTCTCAATCTAAATGAAGGAACAGCGGAAACAATTTTGCTTTTTATAAGTGTAGGTATTTGGAAGCGATCTTTTTTGAAGGGGTGGGACGATAAATTGGTCCTCCGCAAACAATGTTCTTGAACAGTATTAATGGTCCCAACCCTCTGATATCAACGTCCTTATTCTTTTGACGGCTCTCAAATAGATATAATTGCTTTGCGGTTCGACTTTCAGACACAAATGGTTTATGGTTTTTTTAAGGTATAGAATGGCTGCGAAGAAGTTCTATAGTTAATTCTTTTAATCCGGAAACCAGTTATTTTAATATCCTTCGTTTAGAAGCAACGTTTATATTCTGATATTGGACTAAATGTCAAAATTGTGATATAAGTATCCAAATGGTGGCTATTTGTATATGTGGAACGAGCATCCATTATATTTATGGTAAGGCAGCCCTAAAACAAAGTGTGATCACATGAACCGGTCGCGCCTGAAGATGTCCCAAGAGAACCTTACACTTGTTTCATTACCTCTGATTGTGTTGGGCAGAGCGAGCCAATTTCGTTAAATGACTTTTAACTGTAACATTGTTGCAAGATTTTGTCATTTGTAACTTTATTTTATTAAAATATATATATTTTGTCATTTTGAACATATAATGAGGATGTCCTTTTTAAGCTTACAAAAATTTATTTTAGTTTTTAAAATGAAAAGAAGCATACATGACGTAGAAATATTTCAATTCACATTTTTTTTTATTGATATATAACATATATCAAACTATACAACATAGAAGTCATTGAGACTTATATAGAAATAGGATGTTACAAGTACTAAAAATTCTAAATGCCATCAGAAATAAAAATGAATGATTAATAAATATAGCGTTCTGTTAGCGACTGTAAGTTTTAATGAAGATGACAAATTCAGGTTAGCATGAATAGAAGGTGGAAGCTATTCAGAGTCTCCTCGACATAATTCACGCGGCCGCCACCTCACGTCCTTCACTAACTACTTATCCCGATTTTCTGCTTTAACAGTTATAGCATTGACATACTACAATTTTTAATTTAAATTTAGATCACATAATGTTTTCACATAGTTTTCTTGTATGAAATAATCATTCACATAATAAAACTCGCCACAATAAAACCTTATATCGTTGACTTTTATATTTTCTGGTGGCCTTTTTCAAAAAAGATTTCTGCTGACGCTAATTGGTTTTTCGTGTTCACAGAAAATTATTGAAAAAAAAAACAACTTCATAAAAAAGTTTCACTTACACGCGTTTTAACTGAATTCAAAGGAAAAAATATAAGGTCTTCAAAATAAATAAAATTATCATTTACCGCTCGAATTAACCTTCCTCGCCCTTCAAAGGCGGTATTAAGGTTGTGGACAAAACATAAATATCTTGCAAACAAGGTAATCCAATAGAGAGGGCTCGCCGTGTCCGACCGGGGTGTATGTATCCTTAACGGTACAAAATTGTTTACGACGAAACACAAACTGTATCAATTATGTCCTTGTAACGATATAAAGGATTATTAACATACATTGTCTTAAACTGACAATTTAATTTGCACTTTAACACACACGACCTAAATGCTAATTTGCATTTCAAACCTGAACGGACTTCAATATTAAATACAGCTAATTTTCCTTTCCCGAGCTTTTAATCATAATCTAATAATCTGTTCAGCTCTGTTCAAGAACCAGTTGCTCGGGGTGCTTCAGTTATCAAAACAAAGACTTAAATGATTCAACATGGATCTATGTTTTAAGTTGTTTCATAAGGCGACCCTCGGCAGGTTTCGTCTCTGGGAGGGCTGTTTTTACGGGGCTGTTATTTTCATTTAATTACCGTGAACTAAATGAGAGGTCGAGTTTGTAGTCGTTCGTTAAATTAACGTTTGTCCTACATTCGTGAACACGCCGTTATAACATTCAATTTACAAACTTTACTTCTGCTTTGCAATTATTTTACTCTTTACTTTATATGGTTATTTCATTTATTAATATTTTAAAATTTTAATAATATGAAGTTACGAATAAATTGTATACATAACTTTTGTCTCAGACATTTTATATAAAGATGATCATTGTCATATATAAAGAGGCGTCTCGAGCCCATGTCAAAGTACGTTCACCCTTACAAATGCTTGTTTATTAAACGCTTTTGCGTATAATTTTTTATATATCCTAGGAAAACGCTATCGCTATCTCTCATTAATGGAAGCCAACCTTTATGACAGTTGTTAGCTCCTTGTTGTATGTAATTGCTCTAACTAACATTTATGTCAAATGGCTACGAGACAGGTACAAAACTAGCAAATATGTTTATTTAAACTGACTTAAAGTATTTTATTATTTATATTATTATAACAATTTTAATCATCTCGTTCGTGTTAATATAACAATATGTTTTTCTATATACTTTATAACATTGTCACTATTATGGAATGGCTTTTAAATTTCACCCCTAAGTAAACTTCTACCTTATTATACTCAATATTATTATTTAATCAAATTCTCTTGAAGTCACTTCGCTTCTCTTTTACAAAGTATTATTCTTCACGAGTGCTCGATACACGGTTTGTGGTGAACTATCTCTTTCGTTTTTTTATTAAGTCAAAACATATTCTAATACACAATTATATAATATTGAAAGGTAATAAGATGAAAATATTTTTATATTGTTCCTGATATTTGAACAGATAACTCTGAATATAGACTAGAGTCTAGTCTAGTCTAGTGAACATAGTCTAATCTCTAAGTAGATATTCAATCAGTAATATTAAGTTCAATTTGAATATTAATTTAATTATACGTGTGTACATCAGAACAATAAGACGTTTAGTGTGAAGCGTGTGAAGATGTGAATGAGTTACAAATAAATAATAATTAGTATGAAAAGCACACAGCGATTGTTCGAATCAAAAGTTATTAATTTATAAGCAACCAGACGGCGACATTAAATAAATATGAAAGTACTTCCAAGGAACCCTTATCACGGTCCAAACAGTGAACACGAAGTATTATACACAATACGTGGACCTTATTACTTGAACATAAAGTTTAATTTTACTTAACGAGTCTACAATTAGCGTTGTCGTATTTACACCCGTGGTCAAACAAAACAGAGTGGAGAAATAAAAAGTGGATCTGCTTCGTTAAAGTAAATTTACATTTTTCTTGTCGACTTTACTTCGTTATTTAACAAGTTTATTTTTTCCGTTACTGAAAATTTATAGCCATTATTTTTTAGCGATTTAATTTCATCAGAATTTTTCATTCCGCACAATGGCTGTTCACAATTTCAAGTATTTTGTGTATCGGTTAAGTTTAAATTAGTCTCTGATTTAAAATTAATGAAATGTTTAATGAATATCTAACAAACATATGATATTAAAACTGTATTTATCCGTTTGAAACATTCATATATACATAATATAAATTAGAAAACCCGTAATACATCAAATAATACATAATATATATCTCATTTCGCAGGTACAAGTAACTAATTGTATATTAATTACTTTGTATCGAGAACACGCTCACATTTCATAGGCGGGATTATCGTGTTTATGTACCTACTGTTACAATGAAATACAACAATAGGAATTATAAATTGGAACTAGATCGATACCGTATACAGATACACGTTACAAACTACAGAAAGACGATTTAAATGAAATTTTTACCAATTAATTATCATCATTTATCCAGAAAAAAATCACCAAATGTAAAACGAATTTTTTAAAAGTTAACAAACTAATAAATATATTTGAAAATGTATTCATTCCTATATTCTATTCGTTCCAACAATGGTTTAGTTTTATAGTACAATTCATTTAAATTCAATCTACAGATAAATTTTAAAACAATCGACTGTGGTCAATGTCCGGCAAACTAAATTGTTTCACTGAGTATTCCATGTTATACGTCAATCGGAACGATTCACGAGGAGAACATACAGAACCATGTAAATATATTAAAGATAAAAACGTTACATAATGAACACAAAAATCCCATCTTCCTAAAAACGTATTTTGAGTGCGAGTTTAATTAGCTTTTAAAGCAGACAGAGATAATCCCTAATAGCTATATCACGCTACCACACAACCCTATTAAGGGAATCTGATTAATTCGTCACGAAGCTGATATGACGCGGCGCAGTTTATATCTTAGGCAAATAATATCGAACATTATTCCGATCCGATTATGTAGGACGGGGGGAGGAGCGCTGATACGATCTAACGACTCGCTGGATGAAGGAAAAACGGATTGGCCGCCTCATAAAAAAACATACTTTGTTTAATTCTTATGTCTTAACATTACTTATTATAACAATAAAATTGATAATACGGTGATTTATACAACATTTAAATACGTGAAGAATCACTGTGAACTATTATACTAAGTCTGGCTCATTATCAGAACCGTGACATATAATTTCCACCCTTTATTATTGTTATGGTAGTTCCACGAGTTATATGTTTTTACATTCACCCTCTTGCAATATTCCCTTACAATTTTTACTTTATAGTCTTAAAATTATATAAGGATTCGTCTCTTTGTTCTCATTTTTTTTTACTCAACAATATTATAAATCGCTTCATAAATGTACCATACAAACAAGCCGTCAACAGTCCATGTAATATATAGTTATCTCCTGTGTTGGCCGCATCCAAAGATCAAGGTTCGTGGAGTAGTGTTGTATCATTTATCTGAGTTTGGCGGCGCGCAGTCAGCTTCCCGCCTGCTTAAAGATGTTGTCTGCGATACATCGATTTGTAACCAAATGCTTACATGGGAAATGTAATAAACCTTTTGAAGACTTTACTTACTGTGATCATAACATCTTCATCCATCTGTCATTGATGTATGTATATGGGAGAGTTCTTAAGAATCTTTATCTCTTACATTATGTGTCTATTTTTAATTAAACCTAACACTTTTATTTTTGGTAAATTTGTATATTAGGTATGATAAACGAGACCGTTGAAGAATTTCATTACGACGTTGCATGTAAAGGATTCTAAAAAGTCGTCGAGGGATTTTTAGAGTTGCGGAGTCTGGTAAGTAGGTTAGTTTCATATTAAGATGCAAAGTTAAAAAGAGAGACTCTTAGGGTGGGTGGAGAATAAAAACAGATAAAATTCTTTGTACAAGAATTATATAAGAAGTTGTTTCTTAAAACAGAAACGAAGATTATTTAAGAGAATGTTAGGGTTCTAACTAAACTTATCAGATTAATAAAATCAAATACAAAACACTAAGGGCCAAAAAGCAAACAAGTATGAGAATCCTTTATATTCTTATACATACAATTAATGTAATGAATCTTACTATATACAGTTTCTAATATTTACTATGTTATAATGCACATAATATTTTGATACAGTAAATGTAGCTTATAGTCGTTCAAATTGATGGTATTAATGGTAAGGCGTATACGGTATAGAGGTCCTCAAGGCTGCTCTCCGCTCACAGTCTGTTAGTCTCGGTAGCTATAAATTATGATCCGAGGACGAGGCACGAGCACGAGCACGAGCCAGCGTCGTTAAACAAACTGGCCGTCAATAACCCAGTGCAATGGCAACGTATATTTCAATTACTGTCATTATTTACTCTCCAGATTAAATCCAATATTCTGATAATATTGTGCACAAATAATTTATACGAATAAAATAAAATTAAGTTAAGCGAACCGTAATTTATTATTTTAAATATTGAATAAAACCAATTCCAGCGCTTTTCATATATACTCTGAATTATTTTTCGACCTTTTTATATTTTCCTTTGTTATTAATAGTACTAATGATTAATATCAAATACTTTAGCCAAACAACTGTTTTAAATTAATTTCAATAATCAGCGAATATAGGTAATTCATGTTACTATTAAGAATCAATAGTGACTTAAAATAAATAAGAATAGAATGTTCACGAGTTAAAAATCATTACTTTGATTGTTTTAGTATCAGTACAAATATGAATTGGCCTAAATAAAATATAACATTCTATAGTGAACCTTATATATAATACATAAAGTTAGTATTGCAGTGTTCTGAAAAGAGTTGTTTTTGAGTGTAACAAATGATCCCTATTCTATAATTAACAAATATTAAACAAGTTGTCAATTTAATCCACATTATAAGATAAGATTTCTTTTTAAGTCACACAATTTTGCATGCCAACGAAATTAAATGTGACGGGAAAAGTATACTTAAGTAGATTTAGGATTACATCGAAGCTGGTATTAATCCTAATAAACAATTGCAAGGTAAAAAGATATTGTGATGAGAGAAGAAGAGAAAAATTAGGTACAGTTATATTAAGACAGTATTAGTAGATGTAAAGTGTTCTTTAACTAGCAGATATAATTTGAATACAATGTAAAAGACAACATGTGTACAGACAGCTGCATAATGTATTGATAGAAAACAAACAGTTCTAATCAACGAAGCGATCTATTTGGCGTATTCATTAGCCGATTGGTAATGATTTAACCCGTTGGATGGAAATATGAGGGCATTTAATTATGCATGACCTAATGCTTTACCGTTATCGTTACAATTTTGATTTTGCGATCTCCTAAATATCGTTAATTTTAGTTCTGCATCTAATTACGAAATAATGTTCACAAATTGGTTTATTTTTTAAACCGATTACTGTGATATCATAAATATTTTGTTATTCGATGAAGCTGGAAAATTTAATATTTCTTTATATAAACAATCCAAAGTTTTGATTTAAGTCAAATATAAAATCAAAAGGAAGTTGTAAGACATCCAAATTTTGAATACAAACGGAACATTTGTTAATATAAAATGACACTTCCGAACATTAGTCAAAGACCTTAATAACAAAAGTACAAAGTTCAACAAATTCGCACCAATGAAAGATAGAAGACAAATTACGACAAGCCGACGACGAATGACTCTTATCATTCGGAGCTTTGTTTTCTTTGACGTCATCGGAACAATCTGTCATTTATTTTTTTCATTAAAATCAGTATTCATCATTTATAATATTCATAAAAATATTATAAGACATAAAACTAATAACTCTGTGATGTATTTATTGAGATCATCTATATCAATTTCGTTTCTCAAGTCGCCATGACGCTCGGTTTTGTTCCCTTTTTATTTCCTAGCCTAATGCAGGTTCAAACATTGTAAATGTATCATCAATCTCAATTTCGATACCGCTCTTTGATGCTGAAGCTTGTTTTTATTTCTTCTAATACTCAGTGTTTATTTAGATAAAGCCAAACGTGTGAACCGGTCGGTTACCTGGACACCAAACAATGTGTATATCTCTGCTCCATTTAATTTTATTCTGTTTACAATTACAGGGAGGTAATCCTTTTCAGTGTAAGGTGTCAAAGAGCTAACGAATTCCACTACCATTTATATTTACAAAGTCTGTTACAATTTAGAATTTGCGATGCATATTTCAGAACAACATTCAACGATGCTTTGGTATAGATACTGTGCGGGAATTCAATATCGGTTACGTAATGGACTGGGATATAATTAATGGAATAGAAGCAGAAGTTAGAAAGTTAGGGAACGTCAAGTCGAATTTATCAGTTTTGTCACTTTTCAAAGCTAATGTATTCGCAAAAGTTTGGCAAAGCCGACTCATCGGGTGAAGTCTCGAAGGAAAAACGGGGTGTTGCCTAATGGAAACAAGTTGGCGAATTGTCGGATCGAGGTAACGGGAACTCGGGATTGTGATTGTGATCGTGATTGTACCGGATAGGTGATTAGACTTTAGACGCTCTAAGCAAAACTTTAATCTCGTACTGTGACATTAATTTTAAAGGATTTAAAGATAGCACTGTACGCCTACATACAACACTCAATCATAGTAACTTTTAGTACAATGATTACGGAGATATATTTTTTGTATATTCGTATATTAGACCCGGCAAACGTACCTTGAATCCATGGATTGTCGAGAAGTTTCGTCTTAAAGGAAACGCAATGTTTGGAAGTATATAATTGGAGTAAGGTGGTTGAACCAAAACAAAAGCTCCTTGTTATAATTATTTAGGTGATCGCTCGCGGCTCAACCTCTTGATGTGTAGCTAGAGAAAGAAACTAATTAAGTAAAGTACAAACGTTTCATTACACTTCAAAGAAAAGATTATTTAGTAGCAAAGAGAAAAATATTTCTTATTATATCTAATAATTATATGTAATAATAAACCAATAAAGATATTTAAAAAGGATCCCTTGAAATAGATAGTGGTTTATAGTTTTCAATATCGACCAGTGTTCATGTTTAAATAATGAGACTATTTATCTATTGTTCTTTTAAATTGTTAAAACATTATTCATATGTTAATAAAAGTAATTGTATTTGGTCCCACGGGTATTTCTTTTATATCCTTCGATTGACTGGATATTATAATATTTGTGTTCAGTGACAAGGTGACCTTTTAAATTTCTATCGTTTACTTTATTTTTTTTACGTTTATATATTGTTATCGTTAGTTTACGTTTATATGTATATCGTCATTGATTTAAAATAAATAGATATAAAATATATGTTTAAATAAAAATAACCTAATAAATTGAAACTAATACTTTAATAACCTGAATCTCAGCAAAAAATATGTAACACCTCAGTATTTCTAATATTGTTGCACATTGTTTATACATAAAAATGAAATGTAGCTACCCTATTAATTAGAAAAGAATTACCTGAATAAGAATTTCCTTTCAAATCTAAATAAAAAAATACTAAATGAGAAAAATTTGAGTGCTTTTAAAAATGTAGATAAAATTACCCGTTCTCGTTTTTAAAAGTAATTAGAAGAACTTTCAACGGCAATTACGAGAGTTGCTGAGTTTAATTAATAAGCCGGTTGAGTCCTACTCTTATGAGATCAGATTTTTTTATGTTCTGGTCCCCCAAGAACAAAGAGGATTACAGTTAGTAATAGCTGAATAAACTGCGAAATAGAAGTTTATCTTTTGAAATTCTCAAGTTTAACCTCTCAGTATTAAGGGTTGGCAAGTATCATAAAGATCACTCCTGACTTAGATAATTATAATTAACAGAAGTTATAAAAAAATTATTGCTGAGTCTTTGTGACAATCTATATTATAGATTGTAAACAAATACTGAAATACATTCATCAAAAAACTTGAAATACAAAGTTATAACAATGACTTAACACAAACTTTACGTAACGGCCAAAAATAAATCGGAAAGATTTACCGATATTGCCAAAAAGCGGATAAAAGCAGTCCCATGTTTTTACTCGGTTTACGACGTTTTGTATCCCACGCGGGCTCTATCAACACGTTTTAGACATACTCCGAATTAAACTTATTAAACTATAGTTATTATAGTTATATATATATTAGTAAAATGTTACTTTAAATGATACATCTGTAAGATATTTTAGTATGTATATTTATTTCCTTTCAATAAGTCTTTCATCATTTTTACTTAGTTTTTTGTTATGTTTAATAAACATAGCAAAACTAAATAAGTACCTATTTATTCAAACTATAATATCTACTACAGCTAACAAAAGTTCTTTTTTTTATTGAAAATATCCAATTGTCCATTAGTGACATCCAATATTGTGGTTCACTAAGCCCTAATTCGGTTTGATTCAAAGAAACCCTTGCTAATTGAACTATTCTGACCGCCTGCTGTAATTGGGGCGCATGTTAAGCCCTTCTCTACCCGACGTTAATTATCGTTTCCAAGAGTTGTGTTTCACGGAATATACTTGCCTCGCATTTAAGAAAAAATATAATATTTATTACTAATACTAAGTCAGAATTTTCTTGTTATTGTGTTAATTATATACATTTTAGAATTTTGATTATTCGTTGGTCTTTATTAATAAAAAATATTTTGTTTTTCTTTGTTTCAGATTGTTTACATCTACAGTTGTATCGAGACCCTAAGGACCGATTCAAAAAAGGACAAACAAAGGCATCACTCTCACTCCAACACTTTCTCGGATTTGAATCGGGGTTTACACTGGACAAGGAATCAAATACTATTGCAATAATTTGCCAAGATGTGATAGTAGTATTAGCATTTGAAACGAGAGAAAGATTGATTTCTTGGCAAGTAAAAGTTGGCGGGCAACTTGGTTCTTCTAAAGAATTTTTGGTAATAATCGGAGGAGGTGGATCAAGAAAGTTACTGGCTGGGCCTGCGAGATTACATCTTCAAGGAAGAAAGTTTGCTTTAACAAGCGGCGTTCCTCCAAGAATATTAGGTTTATGGGAGCTGGCACATTTAAGGTAAGTATAAAAATAATTTATTAAAATTTAAACGAGAGCACTGATAAAAATTCCTTTATTTCAAGTAGTAAAAAACAATATCAAATATTTAAGACACACTTTGAGTTAAAGGAAATAAAACTAAAAAGGGCCATAAAACGGACTTCAACTGAATAGAAATGCAGTCGACATTCATAAACATGGACCATAAACTCTATCATTTCATAGCCAGTACATAAATACTATAACTGTTGGTTTATGTAGTTTGTCTGGCCGCCAGAAGTTAATGGCGTGGACTTCCGACATTGCAACCATTTCGTTTGCCACAATCCTACATTTTGTCGACATGCCATCTTACCAAGTTTGTATAGGTTGCCAAATTACAAGAATCTTCAAAATGAACATCAGTATTAAGTAAAATCAGATCTCGGGGACATAATATTGGGGGGGGGGGGACATTCACATCTCGTCTGTCCGTGATCACGGTTGCTGAAAAGTAACTGAAACGTTGGGAGTATGTAGTTTTCAAAGAATAAAATACGGATAGTAGTCCGAATAATATTAATTTCATTTAAATGAATACTCGCGAAAGTCTTAGGTCTTATCAGTATCGAGTTGTTGTTATATGGACTTTTTCTATTTGACTTACTGCAAAAAGAATTAATATAATGTTACTAATTACTTATATTTTCGTTTGCTTGTTAATTCAAGCTATGTTTGCTGGATAAATTTAAAGCAATTTTGTTTTAAAATCATTTATAAATATAACGAGATTCCTGTCTTTTTTATTAATAGACATAAAAAGTAAAAACTGCATTGTTAAAAATATCTTTTGTAATCATTGTTGTATATTATATTTAATATTTTACTTTTAGGCGGTATGGCGTGGTGGAGGGAAGATTTTGTTTCGAAGGTGGTTCGCACTGTGGCAAAGGAGAAGGACTTCACATGTTAATTACAGACCAAGCCCAAGACATCACAGATGCATTTGATCAAGCAGCTCAACGAAATATTACACCTCGAACACCAAGAGGTAATGGAAGTTGTATAATTTTTACTGTTTTCGAAGGAAAAATGTAACCTTACCTCGAATATATAATATTATTACAATTTTGTACAGGTCAAGATCGAGACTCAAAGTCACGTCCAAGTACGAGATTATCCGACTTTAATACTCTGGAGCACTCATTGCAAGATGGTGGAAGTGCTCTGTATGAGGAAAATTATTTTGGTGAAGATTGCAGTGAAGCTTCAGCATTCTGGCCTTCTTCAGAAAAACGAGAATTCGAAAATTGCGAGAATAGACCTGATACGGATATGGGTGCAAAACCACCGTGGAGTGGAGCTGATCATATAACTCTAGAACGATGCAGTAATTGTTTAACAAAACTTGGATCTGTGTCCAGATGTTCTACGGTAGCTTTAAGACCAGAAGCAAATTTTAATCCCGCATGGACGATGGAAGCCGTACACGAAAGTGGTTCAGAGAAATCCTCTAACAGTAGCGAATACTCAACCACAAACTTGATGAAAAATCATCCAAGTTCTTGTGATTGTAAAGATCAACCTCCAAAAAGACCACCAAAACCTCAACACTTGGAGCAAAAATTGCAAAATACATGTGTTCCTTTATCAACTAAAGAAACAAATCCCAAAATTAATCCAAAAGTAGGTCCATATGAAAACTATGACGTTCCTAAAATGTCATACGCCAAAGATAGTGAGGTATGGTTTAAAACTTTTTTTGTATTATACACATTAAATATTTTGTAATAAAAAAACTGTAAACCTTTTTTCAGATTGAAAATTCAGAGTATTATGACACTCCAAAAAGGATAAAGAAAGCTTTAGCTGAAGATCTATTTCGAGTAACCAAAACTTCCTCACCAGACTCGTTGGTTCTTAAGAAAAACTGTGGATGTATTCTTAAATTTGGTTCTAAAAAGAAGCCTCTTATTGTAGAAAGCGATGAAAGTTTACCTTCTGCTGACTGTCCATGTCAAAAAGTTACTAATTGGGCTAATAACCTGATTAGTCTTCCTTATTGCAGAAAAAGTACCAAAGAAGAAAACAATGATGATGTATTATTAAATAGTAATCAAATTAATGATACTGCTATTTATGCAACTGTAGACATTTCAAGAAAAATAAATAGGCGAATGACTGCTACGCAGCCGGAAAATGATTCAGAAGACTCGAATGAACCAATTTCCACTAATTATCAGAATTTAGGACCAAAGGAAGAGAAAGATTTTGAAGGTCCATATGCAAACTATGAGAATCTTGAGTTTGCTCTATCTTTGGAATATTATGAGAATGCTAAAGACTTATTGAAAAAGGCTGGGGTAACGCAGAGCGAATTAGATGCGTTAAGTTCTAATTTGGACTTAACTGGAACTGCACTACCTATCAAACCTCGCTTATGTTTAAAATGTGGTCACTGTAAGTCAATGACACATGAAAACAAAAATAAAAGTGACGAATATTTACTTATGGAACCACCAAGTGAAGTAACCAGCGTAATGGTCAAAAAAACTCTAGGAAACAATCCTGGGTACACGCCTATGTCTCCAAACCCCAACTGGTCACAAAGTTTAAGGCACCCGATTACAAAATTAAATCGTACCGAAATAGAAAAATCCTTTAGCATACCAACACTAAATAGAAATAAAAGCTATGATGTTGCTCACGAAGTAAGTAAAGAAACTATTCAAAAGAGATCTTGTTCCGTAGATTCAGCAAGACTCCTTGAAGATTTAAAAGAATTTGATAGTAGTATAGGAAGCCATGCAACATCATCTTCGTTGGAAACTTTAAGGAATCTGGTATTAGAAAATCGCCTTTCCATGAATTGTGATAAGGACCGAGAATGTTACGAGTGTTGTAAGTCTTCAGGGTCTGATAATAAAACTTCCGAAGAAAGTCCCTCCAAAGAAATGCCTCACTTACGTAACAAGCATATGGATAATGCTGCCATAAAACGATCCTCCAGCGTACCTTGCAAAGGTGGAAATAGAGATTCCTCGAGTTCAAATGATTCAGGAGTTTCGAGTTGTTCACTGAAACACGGCGGCGAATTTCAAGAATATGAAATGCCTTTAACGTCAATGCATTCACGTTATCATTACATAGTTCAAAAAAGATTGCGAGGTAATTTGTCAGGATCCATACACTCATCACTGCCAAGAAAATCAAAGTCCTCAGATCCTTTAAGAGACCAGCCTATGCAAATTCATAAAAATAATGCATCTGGCAAGTCATCTTCTGCGGAAGCTGAAGTTCCTATTTTACCTCCGAAACAGTTCAAAGGTTAATTTTCATATTCATACATTTGTGACTTTTTATAAAATTTAATTTAAACTTTATTTATAATCATATTTATTTTAGGTGTTTTAGACACTCACAGTACTTCAAGTGGCACATCCGACATGTCGGATTATATTGAAACATTATCGTTGACTTCTTCACATTCATCGTCTGATAATCCTAGTGGTATGAGGCGAGTATTTCTTTTGAATTAGTTCTGTCTGTTAATAATTTTTTTTCTAACAAAATATATTCTTATATACCAATCTTTTTACAGAATAAATCGACAACCAACGAATACTTTGCGACCCCGATCTGGAAAGGAATACCATAATTTGGATCCAATATTAACATCGATGTATAAAAATGGAAAAGACTTAAATAACTATACGAATCTGCCCTGAAATGTATTACGTTTAATAGAAATTGAAAACTTTAAACTGAACTTTGTACAATTAATGCAGGTTACATTATGTACACCTACATACATATGTTTGAGTTGCGTAAGGTTGGATAAATTGATAATGTAATTGAGGCAACTGAATTTTTCGTTAGAATGAAAAGTTTTAATGTTTGTGTTACTAAGTTCTGATAATAAATTGATCTTAAAACTATAATTACTTTTGTGACGCATAAGACTGACTTTGCATTTTGATAGTTTTTTTCTAGTCATCATATTTATTTTATGTTTAACGTTAAACCATTGTGTTCTTGTAGTATACTTGTCTGCACAATCTTCCGAAGATAAAATGTTGTTACTTTTTCTCCATGTTCAATAATTATTAATATATCTATTGTATAAAATCCTACATTTTCTTATGTGTAAAGTATCCTCAAATCAACTTTTTATTTAAAAACTTTCCATTAATTACACTTAAATTTGTTCGTAAGACCTAAATTTAATTTGTATTTCGTGTTTTGTGCGAATATAACGTGATGTAATCTATCTGACGATATGTTGATGCAGAATTAATGAAATATAATCATTTTAGGAATGCTCTTTGCACATACACGCTGAAGTCATTAAAATCTGTGAAGAGTTTCATATATTGTAAATGTCATGTCCGCTAATAAAGTGTCAAGTTTATCGTGTACCTACATACCAGTAGTTGTTTCGCTAGCATGTACCCATCCGTACAGAGTATCCTCAAGTTACCTTTATATACCTACATATGAATAAACATTATAGTTATTGGTAAAGTCTCTATTATTTATACCCTATTGACTTGATTTAACCTTTTTTTTGTGAAAATATTTTTATTGTATTCAATACAAATATTTTGTTATTATATCTGTTTGTTTGATGTATATTATTAATAACAGGCACGTCAAGAGGTTTCCTAATTAAAGCTGCTGTTCACAGTACATATAATATGTGTATTGTGCCAGGGTTCCGGTTGACCTGATTATCATCTGCACCATATTAACTTACATTACGACGTACATGTGTATGATATGAACACGTATTTAGTTAATGAAATTTCTAGACGAGAAGATTTCATTAGAACGGCTCTAATGAAATATATGAATATCAAAACTGATCAGTATTAAATTATTGCATTCAGAATAGTTAATACTGATCAAATATTACGCATGAGGTAGTCTCGAAAAAGCTACTGATTCTGGTCAGGCCATATGTGTATTATCCTCAGTTATCTAGTAACTTCTACTAACTATTATTTGGTTTTGACAGAAGTGTTTCGGTTTCGTCTTTGTTAGACAAGCTGTTCTATTCTATTCAACTACTGTAGCTAACTGTACAGTTGAATATGGCGTCATCTGGAGAAATTCAAGTTATATATACTCCGGAAAAAAAAATTAACGACATCATTGAACCTCATGAAAATAATAATTATTAGTTATTTCCTTGTCTGTCGTACAAACTTTCTTTAAATAGCAAAATATTATTATAGGTCCTTATCCTTGTCTATTTGATTACTTTAATTTTGAACTTATATTTTACGTAACATATACAAGCCAATATGGAATGGGTAAACATCAATGTAAAATATTATCACTTTTGAATGTTTTGTTTTCTCGTTGTTACATTCACTATTTCATAAAAGAAATAAAAATGTAACTGTTCAATGACACCACATCCATCTAAGTAAGAAATGGGAGTTTCGTTGCTGTGATAAAAGATTTACTGTCTTTTAGTGACGGTTATACAACACTAGCATGCTAAAGTTGTAACACAAATATTATATAGGTACATAGCATATTTAATAATTAAAATACATAATTACTTTATACTTTATTATAGATAGTTGAACAAATTTAAAACGTTTATTTTTAACAAACAAAGTTTAATCAGCTTGGCTGGGATCTTATTACAGTATTTTAAGGAGTTTAGTTCATCTTCTTTCAGCAAATTATAACTTATATTTAAAAGTAGGTACTTTTATCTTCTTCTTCTTCTACCTGGTAATTTCCCAGCTATAGCCAGGGTCTGCCTTACATGTTGTGAATAGTTTTTGGCTATTTGTTTTTACGATCGGCCGCCTGCCTGACATCAACCCTCTTTGGGAATCGTCTTCTAATCAGTGATGCCTAAATAATCTTAGAAAGTACAATGACTGAAAAATCACATTGGTATTTGCCCGGGCCAGGATCGAACCCGCGCCTTCGTGCATGTGTGGCGGGCCTTTTAACCACTAGGCCACCACTGACTTTAAAGTACTTTTATTTTTGTATTTATTGCAATTTAAGTGACGACTTCATTTAATCATTTCATAAATAATTACAAACCTGAAAATCGTATATTTCAATATGTACCTAATTTTCAATTTATAGGAAGCTTTCTTAAAGATGCATGCTTTTACATAATCAACATTATCATCTGTTTTCATTTCCATAAGAGTTATTATACGAAAGATAAACTTGAATCTTTGTTTCAACTTTACTCCCAAACATATACATTTATTCACTATTTCGGGTTCATGATGTAAGCATTATAACACACGAGTTTTACAGTTATTTGCATAATATTAACATAACAATTGAACGTTGCTTTGTTTAAAAAAAACATATTAACAAAAAATGGAATTGTCCTTGTATGAAATTTTAGTGTTTTTTCTTCAACCAAATGTAAAATGCATTATCTACATCGTTCCGCTTTGGTCCACTTTAAAAAATAAAACTCAAGTAATGTATATTTTCAAAGTTATTTTCTTTGTATATAACCACGAAAAATATATTGAACTTGTTTAAAGAGAATATGGAGCAAACAAAGTACTTTTACTGTGAATATATGTATTAAAAATACAATGTCTTATCTGTAAAATATTACATACGTAGTAACTTTAAAAAAAAACTGAAAAGTATCTTGACATTAATGTTTATTTATTTATTCATTTCATTTAATTATACATTTGTAAAAACTTTACAATAAAAAAAAACGTTGACGTCCACACTAGGCTAGGCCTGTATCGTGGACATCGATTCATTTCAACGATTCAGTAAAAGAGAGAGTTTATGTGTGAGTGAGTGTGTGTGTGTGTGTGTGTATGTGTGTGTATGTGTGTGTGTGTGTGTGTGTGTGGGTGCGCTTCCAAGTTGGTAAAGGTCTCGAAATTTATCCAAATTTTTAAAAATTGTTCGGAGTCATCGTAAGATCAGTTTATTAATAAATGTGTGGTTTTTATTTTTACTTCTCTGTATGACAGGTTTCTGAGGTCGCAAATCTTATGTAATGTGTATATAATTTCTTATTCATCTTTAAAAGCAATTACGCAAAAAACGACAAGTCATGTTGGCGGTAATTTTAAATCAGATAAAGTTTCTCAGGTGTTCATCACATCGCATGACATGCTACAAGCAGGTATTCAGCTTATATCTTATCTTGTCTGGCTCTTCACACCTAAGAATTAAATTGTTCTTACAACAGGATAACCGTAACAAAACCTCTAATGTGCAATTATTGTAAAATGACCGTGTTTTTAATACACCTTTTCCCTTTAAATTTAAACTTTGGTTGCAGCTTATATTTACAAAGATATTGAGAATTCTTCGTTGTTTTTAGCGCGATAGTTATTTCTTAAAAAGTTTCTGACGGCTTGAGGATAGCCAGAGTCAGCTTGGAGTCTGACCCAGCTTCTTCAATACCATAAATATGGAAATTAATTTCGTGACCTTAATCAATTAAAGAAATAAATGAGAATATTCTTTAACTTAATCAGTATTATAAAACTATAACAATAATATAAAGGCAGTCTTAAATAAAACAATTTATAAAGTGAGATTATGAAATATTAATATTTCACCACAACAACAAAAAACACTTTTAAGGAAAAGCGACTTAATTAAATAAATATGATTTAAAATACGAACAAACAAATCACATTCATATATGAATATACTCGTAGTATACTACTACTATACTATATTAATAATAATATCAATAGTTCGAAGTCCAAAATACATAATATATTTATAGTTTTCATTTAAATTACATCAGGTAAAACGTAACTCAGTTTATCTTATACTGTTTTTTATTTCAATACAACAAATAATGCAACCCAAATCAATTTCACCATATAAAGACTTCATCAGTATTCAAATTTGATAAACTGATAAATTTCTGTTCTGTAATTAATAACTATTCTCGTATATTATTGCTATTTCCAAATGTTAAGCAAAATTGGCAAACTAATTGGAAATAAAATATATAGTGAGGTTATTGTTTAAATATTTGGCAGAGCTGTACGTTTAGCTATCTCTGCTACTAATTGGCAGAGATTGATTTTTAATTAAAATTTTGAATAACCTATTGATATGAAAGTTTTAAAATTTAAAGTAAATAACTTACATTTTTTAAATATAACTATTAAGTTTAATACAGTAATTTAAATAGGGATCATAATTTAATTTCATAGGTTTCAAAGAAGAAGGCCAAATAGTAACATATAGAGACAGGGATATAAGATTTACTAGTTATAAAAAAAACCTTACGTAACATGGTTTACTATGTAATTATTTATAATCATATACGCCATTTTATATGTTATTATGTAGATGTGATAGGTTCCTTTATGAAAATATTTCAATATTGCAGTCACTTTCTAAATTAAAAAAGTTTTTTACCTAGAGAAGTTTATTATTCATTGGAAAGTCAACATTTTCCATTAAAAGCGAGCCGATTTTATTTCCCTAAGCAACAAGTCCCGAAAGGCACCTTATTTAAAGGCAATCAGCAATTCAAAACGAACCCGGACATCGGCCACCCCATCGCATTTACCATCCGCCATTTGGGTAGATTTGTAACGATCGATATCATTATACGATGTATGTAGATGCATTGATTTATAGACGGGGAATAAAACTATCCAGATTGAACGTTACGTATAAAATATAACTGTGAGTATATGAAATAAAAGTAATAAGAAACAAATACAACACGAGACTT